CCTCCAGGGGATTCAGCACGTCAACCACCACTTGGGGCAGTGGCAACCTCAGCCCACCTTTTAGCGCCTCCTCGTACAGAGAAAACTCCCCTGGCCTAGCATCAAATGGCCTCTCCCTTGATGTTGGCAGCAATAACTCCATGTCCACCGGAATCTGGTATCGTTCCCTGATAACCCCCAAGTCCGCCGTAGTGAGTGTGGACTTGTCCGCCTTAGTGTGCCACGGCTCCGACCCTACCTGGCTTATTGACCTTGGCGCCACTACCATCGTTTGCGATTGCCCTACCAATTCCCCCACCCCCACCATTCGTGCCTCCGTCCTGTATCGCGCCGCTAGCTCCTCTGCATCATCGTCTCCCAGAGGATCCACCCTCACCTCCCCCACTTCTTCTTGTGCCATATTCTAGGGTTTGCTTACGAATCACTTCTGACGCAGGAGCAAGGAAGTTGGGCAAAAGCTGCAAAGGTCTGTCGTATGCAATAAAGAAATTAACACTTGGGTATTTTCAGTTTTTGTACAAAGGTAGGTGAACCGAATTATACCCGAAACCCACGGTTTACCCATATTCCATGAATCCGCATTAATTTTTGCCCGTTTCAAAACCTTTCAAATCAACCGCCAAAACCGCCTTTTCAAAACTCCCCCCCGTGACCTATCGTTTCATTTCTGCTCCAACGCTTCACTTCCTCCACGATATTGCCACGTGTATGGCCACGATACACTGTCCCCTCCCCTTACCCTGTCCTTTCCATTTCACATCATCACGTGGCACTACCCCCTCCGCCTGAGCCCCGTGAGCCCCACGCCGTCTTGGTCGGCACCCCTAGCGATCGACCCCTCCCACTCGGCCACTCTCGTGGTCGCCCCGCCTAACGGTCGACCCCTCCCACTCGGCCACCCCCACGATCGGGCACGCCTCTATGGCGACCCCTCCCGCTCGGCCACCCTTGCGGTCGGCACGCCTAACGGTCGACCCCTTCCGCTCGGCCCCCCTTGCGGTCGGCACGGCTACCGGTCGGCCTCTCCACTCGGTTCGCACTTCTCTTCCTTATTTCTATTCCCTTCGTTGGGCTAAAGCTGCACTCGGAAAATGGGGGACTACTGACATGGATAAGCCCACAAGGCCTACGGCCCACAGTAAACCACCCGAAACCCATCGCTTGGGACCCATAGCACAACCCGGTTGGCAAAGCCCAGGACAGCTGGAAGCCATCTGGACATGGAAGGCCAATGGCATTCGGACACATGGCAGGTGGAACACAGGCCATCACAGCATTTATTACGACAACACCTCCCCGCCGGAACAGAGCCCCCTCACCCTGAACAAGGCAAGCTACGACACTGGCTTTCGGCGGGAGGGGGCATGTCGCAAGGGACAGTGAAATGATTACCAAAGGATATAAGCAATAATAGAAGACAAGAGGAAGGTTAAGCTTTCTATCTCTCCTTTTTACTCCCTCTACATTTTTCTTCTCTACTGATTCTCTCGCCGGAGGGTTCACTGGGGGACTACCCCGTTCCCCTTTGGGCTTGCTTGCAGGTCATTTGACGAAATCATCACCCCGGATCGGAACTTGAAGAACTTGGACCAGCCCATCCCATCCACCCGGAACGGACTGCATTATCAGTTGGCGCCGTCTGTGGGAACTTTGTGGTTTATTCATGCGCTAGTTGGGGATCATTTTTAAGTAAAACTTGAAGGATGTAATATACCCTAGAATATACATTGGGGATCATTTTTATTATTAAAAAAAATAATTTGTAAGCCCCTAAATTATTAGGTTATATTTGGATCATGGATTTGAGTAGAAATTTAAAAAGAGAAAGAAAAAGATGGATAAAATGTAACTATATTTCATTCATATTTTACTTATATTTTTCATCTTACTTTTAAATTTCCACCCAAATTTATAATCTAAATATAGCATTACGGTATAAATTCAAAAACAAGAAGATAGATGCAACACAATTTCGTGAAGTTAACGAGAAATCCGTCCTTGGGATTCACCTTTTAGCTCCTACTAGTTAATTTCCACAAGTTTCTCTCGGTCTCGTGCTTTTTCTTTGCTTTTTTCTTTTTTTTTTTTTTTTTTTTTTTTTTTTTTTTTTTTTTTGGGTGAATAAAAGGCAATTTTAACTATTCAGGTATGCCTCCTTTGTCATTTTAATCCCCTAAATTTTAAATTTATCATTTTTGTTTTTAAATTTATCAATTTGATTCAATTTGGTCCGAGGTTTAACGTTCGTCTACATTGATAACATGAATATAGACAAAAGACAGTTTTAGTCCCAAAGTATGCGTTCCTTAAGTTTCAATTTTTCTATTTTGCTTATCAAAGTTATCAATTTAATTCAAAATTGATCCCAGCTCAACATATTGATAACTGTGGAGACAAAAATGACCAAATTGAAACTTAAGTAACCAAAATTATAAGGAACACATTCTTTAAGGATCAAAATTGTCTTTTATCTAAGGGTTAAAAAACCTTTTCTGTTATTAATGTAGACATATGCTAGAGATAAGATTAAATTGACTCAAATTAATAACTTTGAACATTAAAATGGCAAATTTACAAATTTGAAACTTAAAGGACTAAAATGACAACGGATGCATATTTTAGGGACTAAAATTGTCTGTTATTTATTTATTCATTTATTTTTGATAGGGGACTTACACACTCTGTTTTTTCACCCTTTAATTTATTAATTAATTTATTTATTTATTTTGGTCAATATTCTAGATAGTTAGATTTGTTACTTTGTTAGTAAAGTTAGTGTATCACTTAATTGATATGGTTGATTGATTGAAATAAAAGTCCAGTGAAATTGATTGATTTTTTTTTTTTTTTTTTTTTTTTTTTTTTAAAAGGGGAAAGTTAAATTTTTTGTATCCAAAATAGGATATGGGTATGGATACTCATTATGGATAATTATATATGTTACATATTGTATAATATTCTTTAATATAATGTTATAAATTATGTATAAATGTGTTTGAAATCAAATAGAATTTAAGGAAAATATAGAATTTCTATCTCTCATGTTTGTTAGAGACTACAAATGTTTCTTTTCTAGCAAATTAGAGTTTCTTATTCTTCAAACATTGTAAAGAGTTGAAGATCCAAGTGTCCAAATTGGGTATGTGTGAAGACACTATATCCCACACTCTTACCCTTGTTACTTCTGGTGGATACGGGTACTTTTGGGGGAAATAGAAGAGTCCATGTAACATATATATGATGGTTTATTGGTGAAGGGTGCTAATTTTCCATTTATTCAAGGCTTGGTTTATGATGTTTTAATAGCTTTACAACATTCTCAGTTATTACATGTTTGTTGAAGGGTGAAGGGTGCTAGTATGCTGCTTTGCCAAGTAAAGGTCAAGTTGGCTCTTTATGAAATAAGTATAAATAACAATAGCATGTTAGCTTCTTGTTTTTGTTCATTCTTTTTATTATTTTCATTTGTAATATAAAATTAAAAAGAAAATATATTATTTATGAATTTTTTTATTCATATTTTAATAAGAAAGATAAATTTAAAATAAATATACCATTTTGAATTTGAACTCTTTTTTTTATAAAATAAAAAAATAAAATTGGATTTATTTATTAATATTGAAATTTGATATAACTCAATAGTAATTTTCAAAAAAAAAAAAAAAAAAAGGAATTTATTGGTAATGTATTCAATGTATTTTATGATTTTTTTAATACAATATTATAGTTTTAAAGTTAAAAAAATATAATTTTACTTAGATTAAAAATATTTATAAAATTGTTATTCATGTTAAATAAGGTGCAAAATTGAGATAAGATACAACATTATAGAAAAATGAATATTTTAGGAATATTTTATGACAAATAAGACTTAATTGTCTATATTGAAATTTTATAGGACACAATAGTAATTTTAAGAGTAAAATAACCCTTATTAATAATGTTTTCCTTTGTTTTTTAATAGTTTGTAAACAAATCTAACTGTTGATATAAAATTACCTTGTTTCCCTTGTGTAAATAATCAAATGACAACATACCTTTATAACCCCTAACTTGACCCCAAACTACAACCAACAAACCCTTTGAGACCCTTTTCATCAGTTTTGCAACACAAACAACAAGCTTTACAATCTTTAGGAGAAAAGCGAGGTGGTAACAAGATGGTATAGTGATGGAAAAGAGAGAGGTTGTTGGGTTTGTAAAAACGTAAGATAGCCACGAGACTGGGGGAGAGGTCGTTGGGTTTGTAAATATTTTACCTACTTAACTATCCATGTCCTATAAAATATGGGTAAACATTATGGTACATATTTTTTAAAGGATGTATACCGTATGCATTTTATAATTAAAAACGAAAATAGTATAATTTTATATTTTTTAAGTCATAACTAAAAAAAAATATCATAACCAAACAACAGACATAACTAAAGATCTTATGAGGCCCCGTTTGAGAAGCGGCCGGTTTAGCCAAAAAGTCAAAAAATTATTAAAAAAATCAAAAAGTTAAAAATTCATACAAATAAGTCAAAGATTCTCTTTTTTCTCTGTTTTTTGCACATCTTTTCGTAAAAAGCTAAAAATTCATTCCAAACATACTAGTTTTTTTTACATCACATTTTAGTCAAAAAGTCAAAAAATTACTCAAAAATCCTATTCCCAAACGAGGCCTGAGTTATAACTAAAATAAAATGGTAACTAAAGAAATTTTTTTTTTGTTATAATTAAAAAAAAAAAAAAAACATAACTTAAGATTGCATATAGTAGAAATATGTATAGTTAAATTTTTCTAAAAAATATGATAACTACATAATCTCCTGACCCATGACTTCTCCCATTAATTAATTAACTAACTATATACTTCATAATTTTTTATTAAAATATTATATGTAATTGATCATTTCATTTTATTTTCGCCTCATTTCTGTACCTAATATAATTTATGTTCTAGGGACTAGTAAAGTTTTTCATCTCTGACACTATATATTTCTTTCAAAAAAATGCAGCCGGTGATTGGAAATATTACCTTAAGTGTAAGTATTCTCCCTCCTCCAGCAATATCTGTTTTATTTTTAAATGTAGGTTTGGAATTCACTTTTTAATATTTTTTTAATTTTTTAAATTTTTAATAAGTTTTTTAGTTAATAAGTTTAGGAATTTCTAGAAAAATTATATTTTGTGAGAAAAAAAATTGCTGTGAATTTTTTGAAAAATTCAGGAAGAGGTCCTCCATACATATTTGTGTAACAGTTTAGGAATTATAAAAATTAGTTTGGTAGTTAAGATCCTTAAGATTTAAAATTTTAGGACCAAAATGCCCTTTTAATCCTAGAAATCCTAATTTTTAGCTAATATGTTTAGGAATTTCTACATTTTTTTTTTTATATTTTGTTAAAGAAAAGAAATTGATGTGAATTTTTAAGAAAATAAGGTAGAGGTCCTCCATATATATTTGTGTAAGAGTTTAGGAATAATAAAAATTAGTTTGGTAGTTAAGATCCTAAGATTTAAAATGTAGAAAGGTAAGGACAAATTGTGACATACATGGACCAAAATCCTAAATTTTTCTCTCTAATTTTTCACTAGCTCTCTCTCTCTCTACGATCTCTCTCTAGTACTACTTCTATCATATGTCTGGCACCGTCACCACATCCATCGGCATTAATATATCGACATTTGTTCTTTTTTTTTTTTCTCTCTCTCTCAACCACTTTTATCAATGCTCCGTCATCTACCACCATTGCCTAACCACTGCCGTTCAATACTACCGACAGCCTCTCTCCGATCTATGCATAGATTTAACATGTTTTATTTTTTCTTTGGTAAATTTGTTTCATTATCGCGATTTGTGCACAAATCTGATGTAGAAGTTCTAAACATCTTTCTCCCATCTACTCTCTCCTCTCTCTCTTCCTGTTATTTTCTGTGTGTTGAAACACAAAATTTTTGTCTATATTTTTGTTTGTATTGAAATACAAAATTTTCTTTCTGTCTCTATATTTTTCTCTGTGTTGAAACAAAATTTTCTCTGTGTATATATGTTTTTCTTTATATTGAAACACAAAATTTTTTCATGTGACTATATTTTTAACCATTCATAACATTCAGTAGAGTCTTTTAGTGAAAGTTTTTTTTTTTTTTCCTTTCATTTTTGGTCTATACACAATAGCGAACACGGGTGGCGGGCAAGGGACAGTGACTTAAAAAAATGCATTTTTACCATGTAATTTTGAATGTGTATAAAAGAAGTTTACATTTTGACCCCTTCAAAATATATATAATTTTACTTCGATCCTTCTAAAATTTAAATAATTTTACTTTTGCTATCCTAAATTTTGAAAATTTTCATTATTTTCATGCAATTTTTAGTAATTATAAAATAAATTAGTATTTTAGTCACCTCAAACCTTTGAAAAATCTCATTGCTTCCATGTCATTTTGAGTTTTTATAAAATAAATTAATATTTTGATTTTCAAAATCTATATAATCTTACTTCAATTTCTCTATCATCTAAATAACTTTTCTTTAGCCTCTTTGCACAATTTCTGCCTCCCCCATTGTTTATACATATACAGCTCTGTTTTTGTCATGCATCAACACTAATTCTGAGTATTTCACATCACATAATCACAAAATATATATATATATATATATATTTTAAACGAAATGTAGACAAGTAATGAATAACAAAAAATAAAAATTAATTAAAAAAACTACTTCACAACTTATTTAGCAAACACTACTCAGTAACTTAAATCAATAATTCAATAGTTACACCAAACAGATTAACAGTTTTTGATTAAAGTCATAATTTATAATCTATTTTAATAGTTATACCAAACGGGGCCTATGTCACAACTTTTTTTTAGTTTACTCTTAAAGTTAATTTATGTTCAAAATTGGACAAAAAAATGTCATAATAACTGTCACATAACATAAAAAATATATTATTATACTGATATTTAAGTTTATGTCAGACATGTGAGTTATATAAAATAAAATAGTTTTATATCATGTGACTGTCAATGTATTTTTTTGGTCTAATTTTTAATAGAAATTAGTTTTAAAAGTAAACTGAAAAAAAAAACTTGAAATATGAAGAGCCGAAGTGGGAAAAAATAAATTTTAAAGGCTAAAGTCAAAAAGTGACCAAACATAATGAAGGCAAAGTGTAATTTATCCAAAATTATATACAATAATCATTTATTTTATTATTTAATGCGGCACATTACATCTTTAAAATAGGCGTGAGAGAATTTGAAGGGCTCGTAGAATCTATTATGATTCTCATTTCGATAATCTGAACCGTTCATTTTGTAGAATTCTCAATTTATATCATTCATGAAAAAATTTATATTGATTTAATAATCATAACTTTTTTTAATTTTATGTAGAAAGTTTTTTCTTTAACCTCTTTATCCCGAGGTGCTCTTATTTAATAAAATTTTCATTTTACTAATCTAAAAAAACAAGTATTGTGTTTTGTATGTAACTTTGGCAACTCAACATGAACAGCCACCAGCATTTCCACGAGCTTGGATTGTAAATTGGTTTGATGAGCACATTGCCAAGATCTCATACTAATTATCGATATCATTACAACTTGTTTGAATTTTTGACCTGAAAATAATAAAAAATAAGCTGCTTGGAATTTAAATTTTTGTTTGAAATTCAAAATTATTTCTGAATTGACCCCAACGTTTCTAAACATTGACAATTTGGTCCAAATTCACATTTTCATCTTTTCCTCCAACCTAAACAGGTTCCATGTCCGTTCGATTTTGTCCCGAACAACCACCATCTCTTCTATAAATAGCCAGCCCTCCATTTGTTTAGATTCATTTAATTTTCATCCTTCTTCTTCCTGCATATTTATGCATTTGTTTATTTGAGACAGAGTACATACACAAAGTCTGATCGCTGGGCAATTAGTTTGTAGTGCTGCTATTACTTGTCTTAGATCATTTTATCCTGTGAGATAGATATCCATGTTTTGAAAACATCATGAAAATGATGAATCTATCTTAAGAAAACATGTTGAACGTCTGATTTGATTGGTTTTTTCGGAAAGAATAATTCTGTAAGTACTTTTTCCATTTTTCTGGTTTCCTATTCTTTCTGTTTTCCAGATTTTGTTTTATTTTCGTAACAAAATAGAATTTGTCATTTTTAAAATTTTTTGTTCATTTAATTTTGGTATGAGATTTAGTACTCGAATAGAATTTTGTTTGTTAAAATTCGTTTTCTTAATACAGTGAAGATTGTCAAACAATCTTAAAGCAGATTCGTTTTATCAGTGCTTGTATCCTTTTTGGCAAAAATTGCCACATGGCAATTTCCCTAATTATTTCTGCCACGTGGCGATAGGAGATGGAAGGTCAAAGATTTTATGGGACTCACTTACCTAAATTAAATGGTGGCAGAACAAAGACGAGTGATTTTGTTTTATTTAATTAATTAACTAAAGATTATTGGTTGATTAATTAATTAAATAAAATAGTTTGGATTGATTAGATAAGGAAAGCGTTAACCACTCCTAAAAGTGAGGAGGTTGTTGAGGCTTATCTCATTATTAAGGGCCTTATCTCCTAGTTTGGAGGCTTACCTCTTAGATTAGGATCTTATCTTCTATTGTTATGCCTTATCTAATTGATAAGTGATGAGGTTTATCTAGGTGAAGATCTTCCATATCATCTACAAAGGTGGTATCGTTTTCAAGGATCAAGACAAAGGAAGATTCTATGGACACGCGGTAGCTTGAAAAATCAACATGGACTAAAATCAAGGAATTAGTTGGCAAGACTGGATTTTTGAATTCCTTAAGGATAGACATGCACAACAAGGAGAAGAAGATCCATGCATCTACAACCATGGAATCTATTTCTCAAATCAAGCAGAATAAATTCAAATTCAAATGAGGAGGACACGTGGTGGCTCTATAGGGCTCGATGGACCAAGTCAAAGCTACAAGGATAGGCCTTAGCCTAAACTGTTCCTATTTTTGAGGGATCAAGCTTAACATCAAGGACATATGTCAATAGGAAGGGCTGCCACATTTCTAGTAGTTGAGCAAAATTTGGAGCTTCCCCAACACTATATAAGGACTCCAAGCATTAAAGGGGTCCCTGACCAAACACTCAACCAAGAGTCTTTCAATTCATGCCTTTCAGTACATTTATCTTAGCTTCATAGCTTAATTACCCTAGCTTAGCTTCATAGCTTACTTGTCATAGCTTCATAACTATAACTCAGTTTAGCTTCTTAGCTTAGTTATCTTTGATTATTAATTGTACTTCATTTCCAATCAATGCAAGTTATAATTCTTGTCCAAATTATCATTTGACACCTATAAATTTGTTAAAAATCCTCTTCATTGCGGCAAGATCCAAACCAGTGGTGGTTTCTCTTAGTCACACACAGCCATTCTCTGTATCAGAAGTCAGAAATGGTCAACAATTCCTACACCTTGAACTAGGTATACAAGTTCTGGCATGCCACATTTAATCAACAAGCTTCTTATTCTTCACACCTGCAGGATTTCTTGAGTGGCAATGGGAATTCCTAAAAGGTGCAAACAAATTTTGGCACGCCCAATGGGACCTTAGATGTCATCCCTACCAAGCATTCATCATGGTTGGTAAAGCAAGAGGAAGACATGTTATGGGTCATTCAGGAGTGGTGTTGCCTCCTAACAATCCAAGATCAAGCAATTCCAAGCCGTCAGCAGCACAACACACTTTTGAGGGCTTCGAGGACATGACAGAGAATGTGAGACATTGCCTTATCACGACCAATAGGGAGCTTTCTATGGAACTCTCACTCTTTGGTCGTTCTACTACATGAAACAAGGTAGTCCGAGACAGACCCGATGCATGCAATTGCCAATATGATGGTTACTTTGGGAGACACGCTTTCTGCAGTTCTCCACCAGTTCTGCACACAACCGGAATTTTCAATGCCGTTGTTGAGTAAAATCTTCAAAGCAGGCAAATTGCAGATGAACCGCTGGCTCTATGAATTTTGTAGACTTTT